GCGTCGTGCGAAATGAATTTCGGAGATCACCAGCCATTCGAGATACAGCCTTGGTCAAAAATATCAGGCACCTATATTTTTTCATTTACTTAAAATTCTTTTATCTGTATTGTTACCTATTAGTGGTTATGTATAATGACATTTTACTTAAGTATAAAGGGTTCTGGAAATAAAAGATAATTTGCAGCAAATATATTGAGAGAAAAAATTTGAGGGGGGGTACTTGTAACTACATTACATATTACTATAATAATGATTATTATAGCTACAATGTTAGTAATAGTAACTACATATATCATTACTAACATTGTAGCGATAATAATCGTAACTACAGTATCAAGTAATTATAGTTACAAATGCCAAAAATTTTTCTTAGTATGTCATAAATCAATTTCTAAGCTAAAACTTTAAATAATGATCAATAAGTTGCCTAATATTTTTGGCCAAGGCTGTATGTGTCGACGGAATTTGCTCTTGAAGAGAGCGAGCGATGGGTTTCGAGTGTATATACGGTAGGATGCACCCCGTCTGTAACCGCCAAACGTCCAGAAGTGATTTGTATCTTTCCTACGCGCGTGGGGCGAAATCCAGCGTAAAAGGTCATCATTTCAGAATGTGCGGTGAAAATAAATCTTTTGCTCGGAACAGTGCGCGCGCTCATGCCGGGGATCGTATTTATCAGGAGGTATGTTGCCGCGCAGTTTCATCGTGCGAATCTTCGATTCGAGCTGTCGATGTCTCCTTCCCTTCCCACGCAATGTCTCTTATATCGGCCGGCGAGAATTAATCTTGCCAAGTCGATCGTTCAATTAAGAGCTTTTTAGAAGTTGCTTGAAAAAAAAATAGGTAAACGGTAGTATCTCACCGTGTATATATTTCGAATGTTCATAAGATTACCCGAATCTCGATCGTGGACGAGATGAAAATCCGGCCTGAACCGTTTGTACACACGCCAGCGCGCTAGTTTATCTACAAATAAAGGGATACATATAATCCATGATAGCACGGTCCTATATAGCTAACGTCTAAACACGGACTCTGTGTATATTGCATCTATTTCTCGCATCGAGTCCGTGATGCCACCTTCATCACCGTCGTCGTCGCGAACCTTCTCTCACAAACGGACACAATCTACCTTTTACTTGTATTACATGGAATATAGTTAAATTTATACAAACCGCGCACTGTCAGATATCAAAAGAGCAATGATAACCTAATGCTTCGAGTTAAATAACGTTTTGTCATTTTTAACTTTCTATCAAAATACAATCAATTCATTTCTGTAGTTAGTTTCAAAGTAAACAACGTCCATATTAACGTATGCATTTAGTAAATAATAAATTTAAAGCAAATGTAATACATTTTTCAGTTAAATTGTTTAACTACATTATTTCAATTAAATTAACGACATATTGAGGAGCAATAGCGACCTGCAGAAATGATTAAAAATAATTCAAATTGGATATAATTATAAATTTAACAATGCATGGAAATATATATATATACATAATAATGTATATTTCTATATTTGTTTTCAATTTGTGTTAAAATGTTAGATTTTTATGTTAATTTTGCGTAATGTTTGTGTTACATTCTCTACACAGAACTATTATCTTAAATGAACCATAATATGCTCATATGTAAGCAAAAAGATATTGTAATCTTGCCTCAAAGATTTTAATCTTGATTTGGTTGAACTTATATTGATGCAAATATTACTTTGCACTCAATTCAAGACTTGTTCTCAATAAAAAAATCTTACATTAATAGAAATTCAATCAAATCAAGACAAATTTTTGAAGCAAGATTACAATATCTTTGCCTACATATGAGCATATATGATTGATTTAAGAAGTCTTTTTTTTCTGTGTAATAGATTTATTTTGTATTAAATTAATTAAGAGTTGGATGAATGGACCATCTAGGACACATAATATGTTTTTAACACAAATTTTTCAACTGTGAAATTGATATATTTACTGTATGTATTTGTTTTGTAAT